TGTCCTGCAACACATGACTCACCAACAAACAGCACAAATACTGAAGTGTCTCTCCAGGACAGCACTAGCAACACACAGGCTGCACTCTTCTTTTCAAGGCTTTGGTGGTTTGTTTTTAAGCCTTCCAGATAAAATGACATCCACTCTTGGAAGAAAACTGATATTCTTCAGTGTATTTATTTTATTTTTACAAGTTACCAACTAATGACAGTGTAAGGTGATGACTGCTAAGTTAAACAATTAATACTTTTGTAATTGTCTATAACAAAATAGAAATCTCTACACCATTCTGGCTGACCAAGTCATTGATGCTGAGGAGGTAAAACCCATACAGCAATTTGTCGGGTCTAGTTTAACTCAAAACAATGAATTGGTTGGATCACCCTTTATATCAAAAGGAAACAGTTTGTTAAGCAATTGGAAGCAATCATTACATGCAGAAAACTTAGCAGTGATATTAACACCATGGCCAGAGGTACAGAAGAAAAACCTGAAAGTCTGCCATGAAAAAATTACAAAGCTTGGAAATCTAATACTCTATTTTAGATATTGCAAAACATAAACTTGGTTACAGCTTGGGAGCATTCAAAACTCCCCCAGTCTTAAATATTTTATTTGCTCTAAATTTCAAAAAAATAACTAAAAATACATGAAGTGATGCTAGTATCTACTTAATTGTAATTGAAAACATTATTCTTTGTTTTCTATCGACTCAAGGCACTAGTGCCCCCAAGTGACATTTTATTATACAATAGTCTAGTAGCTTTGCAAAAAAAGATAAAATTAATTGCTTCACATAATAGCAAGTATAGAAAGACACTTCTAACAAAGTCATACGTAGAGATACTGAGATTTGTTTGAATGGGCCTGGAGGTAAGGGTCAGTTTATTACAGTCTCATTTTATAATTCTTCTGAAGTTGCTACTTGTCAGAAATTGTAACATCAACATAAAATGGGGTTTGCTTGCTAGCTAGTCATTAGACTTTACTACACAAAGCACCTTAACACCCAGGCAGATTTTCCTTTCATTGTTCCAAAAACATTTCTCAGGTGACTTTTTTTGCCCCTACTTTTCTCTTGCCACTTTTCCTTACAATCACCTCCTCTGATATAGTTTTTAAAAAAGCATCCACTAATCCTGAAGACATTCTCTTGGAAGTGCATTTCTTGGCTTCCCAGAGGTATATCATGTTTTCTAGGTTACAAGTGAGGAAAAAGCTTAAGAGCACAGATCTAAACAACAACAAAAAAAAAAAACAAACAAAAAAACAACCAATCCTAGACTTGCTACAGACCACAGTAATCTTTACCTTCTCACTTATTTTTCCCTTAAACAGTACATTTGAGAACCCATTTAATATATTACTGAAAAATTATTAGAAACATATTTGTTTCTAACTGTAACAATAGAGTAAATGACTAGAAAAACATAAAGATGGCAATTAAGTTGCAAGAAACTAAAGATTTTTTGTAATCAGCAAGTAACCTCTGAATGGAAACCAAACACCACAACTTCAGTAGTAACATCAAATATTATATTAACGTGTTTATGGAATACACAGTTGACATCACACAGTAGTTTTGCCAGTTGAACATATGATATTTGAATATTCTATCAAAGATAAAATGTATACAAGATAAAGGCAGCACTTCAAACATATTTTACACAAGAACAAGGTATACTAAACAAGTACAGAAACGCTCATTCAGGAAAAGTTGAATTTTAGTACTTGAATTTGCATTTGACTACCCACTCTAGCATAAACTGTATGTACTGCACCATCCATTTTACAGATCTGTTGCAGAAATCATTTTTATGGAAAAAAAATTCTCACAAGAGAAAAATTAGCTTAACGTGCTACTAGAATAGTTGATACTGATAAAGACAATTTTTTTTCTTGTTGCTCAGCACATTAAATACATATACTGGAATGAATATTGTTCCAATAAATACCTTTTGAGTTTTAGAAAACTACTTCTGTTTGTGTGAATGGTAGCCCCAGTTACTTAGCTTTAATAAAAATAATATAAAGCTCACACATTGTACCTCGGAATAACTGAATAGCTGCCCTACCTGAATTGTCTGCCATACCAATAGGCACTCATCTCATTAATTTATACTTCACTCCTTTTCACTTGTTGAATGCACTTTCAATAAGAATATTATATCCAGGTATAAACCTAATCTTTCAACTCTGATCCAAATTGGCTAGGTCAGTGAGAATCTGCACTTCAGCTAAAAGTTCGCAATCAGCTCAAGAGCAGAACAGATCAGAACAAAATGTTGAAACAGATTTAGGAAAAGTATCCAAAGCATATAGCAGTACAGAGGAATAAAGCCGACTCCTCATGTGCAAGTGCGTACTCTTTCAAATAACTGCTTGAAGATCTCTACTTAGCAGCAAGAAAGTGCTATGTTAAATCTAAAATATTTGCTCATAACTGTTTCTATTAAAAGATATCTGATAACTAATAGAAGGTATACGCATGATTAAGTCATCTTACACTCTCAGCTACTGTTTATTCACTTTGTTGTATTTCATTTGGCAAGGATTTCCCTACCTGGATGGCAAAATATTCCTTTGTGCAATGAAATTTCACAAAAGACTATCCATTTTGAATTACTCCCACTACACAAGAAATCAGAGTATGAAACTATTAACAGGCATTAGTCACATGAAGATTCATATCCTCAAACCACTGTTTCAAAAAAAACTGTGAAATGGCTCTATACTATGACCTAAATGTATTGCCATACATATATAACAAGTAAAAATAGCCATTTAGTAACAATTAAAGGAGTACATAAATACATTCCTATGCTTTCTACAGAGAATGAGTTTGATTTGTGCAATGTTTCACAGCCTTGAAACATTAGTTTAGCTTTGAGACATTTCATTTATGTCATACTGTCTTGATTCTAAACATTATTCCCATCTAATGCAATGAACCAATGAGGCAGGATTTTCTCTTTCCAATAGGCATTGCTTAACACCTCTTCTTTGTCATAGCACAGGAATGTCAACACGTAATAATACACCAACAATGGCTTTCTGTCAAGTACTAACTGCTTTTGAGTCAGCTTAAGTAAGTTTCAGGGGCAAAGTCCATCCCTACCTACACTTCTACAAAAAACAGATTCAATACTATACTCATACCAACAGAAGTGTGCGTTGTTTCATACATTCTTGAAGGATACTCCATTTCTATTTCCTGGATAGAGTTGCTATGCAGCTTGCTGACTACCCTTCTTTCCAGTCATTTTTTGGCTTCATTCATTCATTCATTCCCTTCATATTCCGGTGCAGAAACCCTGACTTTAATAGCACCATTTCCCATTTTCCCTAATTTTAATTCAAAAATCCTCCTTGTTGTTACTTGAACTCCCTTTACTCTCCAGATAAATCTTAATGAATAGGACAGAAAGAAGAAAATAAGTGTTTATTCTTTGATAGAGATTTGAAAGTCTCCTAATGCTTTATGGTAGCACGAAGGGGTAAATGTAACATCCCCTAAAACGAAGTTAGCTTATATGCTACAGACATATATCCTATGGAGAACATTCAAAGGAGGTGATGATTTTAAGCAAGCAAGCTTAGGATTTTCTGTGATAGTTTTCTTACAAGCTTATTACTACACATAATTTTTCTATAAAAAGAAAAACCAACATAAGAACAAGAAAACCACAGCTAGTTTATCACACAGAATACTTGCTTGACAAACAGAAAACTGTTTGTTCTATTTTTCTCCAAATACTTTGAGTATTCATATTAAAGAATAAACTATTACTTCAACAAAAAAAATAATTCTTTGAAAGATTTTATTTAGAGGTTAACGCTGAAGTCTTCCCATTAGCGTATTGCATGAGAAGTCTAACAAAATCTATGAAGTGTTAAGCTGAAGTTTAATAGGCAAGGTCTCTTGCATTTACAGAACAGATGTACATTTTATGCTACAGCATACGTTTTATATTAAGTACTTAAATACCATTAACATAAAAGGCTGCTCCCTGTACCTTAATGGTATTAAGCTCCCAAGTGCACCTGATCTTTATAAAAATAGTTACAGACTGACAAGTCATCTGAACCTAAAGCAACAGCCTCTACCAACTTAATTTCATTCTGAATCAGCATCTAACATCTCATTTGTTGGTGATACAAAATTTTTAATTGAAACTACCTAACTTAAAACAGAAGCTACTCAAGATATTATTCCTACAGTGGGGGAGGCATATGCATTAACATCTATAAAGAATACGTCAGTACTCATGTTCTTAGTCTTTCTTTCTTAATGCAATTTAATATCTTAAGGTTTCCCTGAGCTACCCCACAATGATGGCAAAACTCTTAATTTCACAGCTTCTAAATTCACTAGAGAATAGGTTTCTGAAACTCTAGTTTCTGTATTGCAAGTTAAAATCTACAAAGAACTTAACTTATGTCATGAAAGGTCGATATAGAAAGACACCCACACACAAACAAGGGTTTTCAAACTTAAGTAATAGATTGCAGGCCAAATAAGGAAGCTAAAATTTTGAGAGCTAAAGATTTGGGAAAAAAAAAATAAAAGGCTGCGAGAACAAAGCAATAATAGTGAATCAGTTGTAAGTTTCATAAAACAAGTATCAGCTTTTCCGCTTTACAGCTAATTTTCTAAGACATTAACTCAGATTTTTTTTAAAAAAACTAAGAAAGCATTAGAAAACAGATCAGTAGGAGTTTTTAATATAACATGGAGTGATTAAAACTTATCAAGATACGAACTGAACAAAGTAGTAACACCAGATCTCCCCTCCACTCTAACATGTAAAAAGAGGAAATAAATTGTACATAAAATGCTGCAGCATTGTTGTACCTGAGAAATTTACTAATTACAATTTAATTACAAAGTCTATAATATTAAAGAATAAGTCTTCTATTCATAAAATCAATCTACAGTAAGTACTCCTAAGAAGAGTCTGTCAGGCTACATAAAAGAAAACAGAAGAAGGCAGTCTTACTTTTTCATCGTCATCAGAAAATGGGGCACCTCCAGGAGTCTTATTTATTGCTTGTGCCACACCAATAATCTCTCCATCACTGTTTCTTATGGGCATGCACAGAAGTGACTTTGTCTTGTATCCAGTCAGTTTGTCAATCTCATCATTAAAGCGGCGATCCTTCAAGAAAAAACAGGAAAATATTAACATGCATATTGTATATTTGAGCTTCCTTCAGGTAGCAGGGTACTTTACTATACAAGACACTGAGGAAAATAATATTATGTTGCCGTCTGTGTTATTACCATACCTTCTATTAGCTGTTTTTCCCCAATTAAGATGCTGAGGGAAACAGTTGTCAAATTGCTGTACTCAAACTACACAAGCATAAAACAAAGAAGGACTTTATGGATACCACTTAAAAAGATCAGCCACAATACCAAGACCCAATCGAATCACCGCACAGCTTGCTGGAAGCATACAGGAAAGTATTTGGGTAGACAAAGTTCCTAAAACGTAGTATACATCAGAGTATTTTTTGAGTTATTCCATAGTGCTCTAACAGGAAATTTGGCACCACCCCTCTAAACAGTGTTAATGGGAACACAGCAACTGAATCGCCCCGGTGGTGAGCAGCTACACAAAGGGAAAATCTGCAAGTGTGATTCTTTGTAGTATTCTTCATTTTTGAAATTTTTAAGACCAAGAACTGTATCATCATCAAACAAGGTTTTATTACTGTTACACTGTAGAGGTTGTTTTGCATGCACAACTTCATTTGATTTTGTATCCACTTGCATCTAAGTTTCAGAACTGCGTTAACGCAAAGTTCAAAAATCTTTTAATTATGTCAATTAATGCATATATAAAATCTCCTCAGCATGCTTAAGTATCTAGTATAATCTCATTGATCATAAAGCATCCACTTTCTCAAAAAAATACAGAACACGTACTATGAGCATGAGTCTGCTTACATTGCTTTCCATTCTAATCCCACAATCAAATAAGAATGGTGATAAGATGTTAAAGAGTAAACATACTTCAAAGACCAATTTACCAGTAAGATTAGCAAGTATTCCATCTGCTTTAATACTTGTAAGAAATTTTAGAATGCACTAACTGTGAAAGAGTGACAAACCACCATCTTCACAAACACAGAAATGGAAAAACATGCGTAGGGTGACAATACCACATCTTTAGACCAAATTTCATTTGCTCACTTTAAAATAAGTCCCATTACTGTATAGAATGCTTACTGAATGATATTTTAAGACTGATATCTGGTGTTAGTTACATAATCTTAGATACACATACATAATGCCATTTCACATCTATATTTTGCAGATGCCCATGATTTCTGGTAAACAGATGGAAACACTTGTTAGCTATACCTCTCTGCCTGCTGCACTTTAAATTTAGTAAGTCAAATATGCCTTGCTGTAAGGATTAGTATTACACTGCAGTATAAGTGCAACGTACTACAGAAATTCAAGAAAACTTTGGTTCTTCCCAGAGAATCGATTATCAGAACATTTTGATTTAGAAAGACCCCTCATGCCATTATATTTCTCAACGTATAGCTTCCTGAAGAGAAAACTGCACACAGTTTGGATGTGCAGTTTAACCTTCCACTGTAGAATCCACACAGTTGGTTACCACTGAAGAAAGATTACCATATATAAAAACAAAAGAGCTAAAAGATGAATTACACATTTTCCATACAATTTTCTAAAGTACTTCATTAAGTACATTAACATTTGAAGTTAAAAAAGCTTTAAAGAGCATTATTCAAATCTTAACTGAAAATGACTTTTTAGTTTAGTTTGGAAAGTTATACTGGAAAGTATAGATTGAACAAAGCTAAAGGAAACTGAACTTTTTTTTTTCATGGTATTGTACAGATAACTATTCTGCCATGAAACAGTACTGCTGAAAGATGACTGCAAAGTCACTCTCTGTAGAGAATCATCTTCAATAGTTCTACCATCAACTGGAGAGGGAATTGGTAGCTCCATTCTTTCAGTACAAAGTTAGCATTTGGGTTGCAACCAGTTCTGGCACTCCCAACCAAAGGTAACTAAACTCTTCTACAAATAGAAGCAAGAGTTTTGATTTTAAAGGTTCGGACAACATCAGCTGCAAAATAATATCTGCACATATTTATGTCCTGTGACGAAAGAGCAATTCTTACATCCATACAGTCCTTAAAGTAGGATAAAATTTAATTCTGACAAGAAAGAGATATTAAATCTTCATTGATATTCAACATTGACACATTTTCCAGATCATCTTATTCCTACATTTTTTTTTTCCCTGTTGTGATCTGCAGATAATGTAGAAATATCATTGCCACTTCAAAAATAATGTGATTTAAGTGACCTGCGCTCAATCAACATTGATTAACATAAACATTTGGGTATTTTATTCCTTTATGCAAATTTTCAGACCTCTTAACACCAATAATTAATAACAATTGTGATATTCATATGCAAGGTATAGCACTCTTCTGCCACAGAATACCAAGCTCTTGAATCTGTTTATTATACCATTTTTTTCCTATTTTAATTGTAATTTCGTTAGGGTTTGTTGTTCTTCCTTAGACCTATTTCTGTCTCTTAAATGTATTAAACACTTTTTGCTTTCAAGAAGAGCAAGTTACTAATATGCATTCTTTCATAAGACAGTGAGCTTCCCTTGAAATATTTGTGTTTAACAGTTTGCTTAGGAAAACCACAACACCCACAATATAAGTCAAAGCACCATCTGACCTGCAGTGGACAGCATCATGTAATACAAAGGTTTCTGAACCTGTCCAAAATGGTATCTCTATAGTACAAGCTGCTAGTACTGCAAACAGATGTGACAAAGGTACCGGTCTTGTATTCCTTAGTGGACTCTGAAGAACAGCAGGCACAGAATGGACTAGCAATCTGGAATTAATTGCTACATCATATTTCATGCAGATTTAGGAAGTTTCCTGTTTGTGTTCCTCGTTGTGATCTCTACAGGGGAAGAAGGGAGGCACAGGGATCCCAGAGCAATTGAACAGCCTCAGTCCCAAATATGTAACAACTCATTCAAGTGGTTCCATCATCTGATAGCAGATTACCCACTTCTAAACCTTCTGTAAAAGGTAGTTCAGTTCCCTAGCATATTTGAAACAGTGAATAAGAGGAATATAGAGAAACTTATGCATTTATTTGGGAAAAGGAAGAGATTAAGGCAAGCCTAATTAAGAACTCATTAAAAAAATAGAAGTAATCAAGATGCAAAGTGAAACTTTGTATCTAACCTCTTGTTGAAGTGCAGGCAGGAATTTCCTTTCAGTGACATTTGCAAAAAGCAATGAAGGAGACATAAGCAATGAAATACTATTTCTGCCAGCATTAACATTGTTGAGATATGCAATATACACAAGAGATAAGTGACCGGATGACCTGCGTTATGTCCCAGACCTTCCCCTTTTCACACCTATCCTCCTCCTAGTTTTCTGTCATCATTTATTACATCTTCATAGGATGCACATGGTAGGATCTAGCTGAGAGGTTTAGCTGAATTTAACTGCATCAATAAAAACTCAATACCCAAGTGTGAACTGTGAGGGCTGAGGAGCTTGTATAAAATTTACATCCACCTCTACTTACAGGGTAGTGACCTTGAGCAAGAAGGCCTGTTTAGCAGCTGATAACAAAGCTGCTAAATCAGAGAGAAGAATTCTGTTAGACTGCAAGCATTTTATGATGCAAACTATTACCCCTTTTTTTTGGAACAGCTTGTGGCATAACAGGCACGTGTGCTGGGCTCCTGGCTGTTAGGGAATATCAGTGTTAATGCTACAAATGCAGCATCCTCTTTTAGGTTTCTTTTTTGTAAAGAAGAGTTACTCAGTAATTAGGGATAGACTAGATATAAAGTATACTTAATTTTGAGAGAAACTTCACTATAATTGCAATGGTATCAGCAATATTTTCATGCAAGAACACTCAGGAATTATGAAGTCAAGACTTCTGATTGTTAAAAATACTGCTAACACAAACAAACAAAAACAATTATCTTTAATGCCCTGCTTCTACATAATGAGGTTGCTAGATGCCAGAGACATTGCAAATGTAGTGACTTAGGCACTCTGAACTTGAATTTGAACTGCCAACAAGGAGCGGTTATTTGGGAGGATAAACCTCATCTGAAGTTGCTTATTGATTGTAAATTCTTCTTTGGGAAAATACTGCCCTGTAAAATGTGACAGTCAATCACAGGAAGAGAGCAAGATTGATTCATCAGTTCAAGTGCTGCTATTTCAACTGCTGGAGCAGTAACACAGTCTCCGTTCTTTTTGGATCTACTTAGAGATTTGCAGTCAGCAAGAAAAGTATTTTCATGCTTTTATACTACAAAGCTTTTATTCTATAAAAGGACAAATTGGGGTAGAGTCAAATCCTGTAATCCTAATGTTATCATGATTTCAACTTTCATTAATACATTTAATTTCTAGTTCCTGTAATTGTGAGAACAACATTAAAAGTGTGGACTACAATTTGAGAACTTAACTATGAGAAACACTAGAGCCTTGAACAGAAGTTATGAGCAGCAAAAATATTTTCTAGCTGTTTCAGCTGAAAAGACAATACTGACTGTGCCCAGAAGCTGTATGTCAAGTCCTCTAATGACCTCTGTATTCATAAGATTAGTTTAATTCTGACTATTAAAGATATAAAGGTACTGGGCAAGGATTGAAAAAAGTTCATTAGGTGTATTATTGATAGGATTGGAAGTGGAAAATGAGAAGTCTTAGGGTTTAATCCTCCTGGAGACCAGCAGCAAATTAATCATAGATCTGTAGTCACTAAACAATCTGACCATTATGAAAATGGAACAGCTGTACTTAAAGGGGGGGGTCTATAAAAACAAAATTCACACTGAAATAAAGAGGCAAAAAAAATCTCATTAAAAGTTACAAATTTTATCACTTGCTGAAAGAATATAGACATTCCATAATGATTCCCAGCTTCAGAAAATCTTTAAAAACATTAACAACAGGAAATTTTTCACAGAAGGTCACAGAGGACCTCCACAACTCCCATGAGATGCTCTTGTTCTCATTTTTAATCTAGCAAGATCTTCCCCTCACTCCCTAGACAATTAAAGAAATTAAATAGATTAGGGTAATAATGAAGGCAATT